GCTAGATGTTGTGGATACAATGGTGAGGGAGGAGCGTTTATCCCAAGGAATGCACAGTCTAGTGGACTTCCTTGCTGGATATCTCCTGATTACGAAGGTGACATCTGTAAAAGGCTTTGCGTGTGACTCATAAGTTTTATTTTAGGAGGGAATCAAGAAGATGAGCAATGTTTCAAGACTCAGTGGTGGACCACAGCAGAGGGATGGCTCTCTTGGAGCCGAAACCCCACATAAATGCTCTGGAAGCACATAATTGCTGAGCCTGCCCTTTCTCTGGCTGGACTGTGAAGTGGGCAGGCCCCTGGGTGAAGTTCCAGAGAATTCTCTAGAGACCTGAAGCCATCAGAGGTCGTTAGTTCCTTGTTTTGCCTAGAGGACTGGGCTTTTGGGACAGTAGGGCATCTGTCTAAAGAAATTCATTGTATAGTTGGCCACTGGGACATATTTGTGGCTGGGATGTTTGTTTGAGACTGTATTCAAGCTGACCTGGTTGTAGTTACAGCCCATGACCTGGGTTCATGTGGATAGTGTCTCCTCAGACTTTCTCATGGACTTGACGACTGTGTCTCCAGATTTCCTCAGCTGTCTTGTCCCTCTAGACTGAACAGTGCTGGACCCTCTGTACTGAGTGGCTCCACTGTGGCAGTCCTAGCTTCAGGACGGGCATTTCCAGTAGGCATGGAAACCCTTCTCCTGAGTCTCCCCACAAGGCTACTTAATTTCCTGATATTCCAGACTGGTGCCTGGAGCCAGGTAAGGGAACAATGTGGTCACAGATGAATGGGGTCTCTAACTTCATCCTCCACACCCCCACTTACTGTTGGTCTGCGCCTTTGTTATCAGTTCTAAGTGGCTTCAGATTTAACGGCTTCAGATCTGAAGGATGGTCCATCTTGGGACTAAGGAGCTCTTGGTTTTAGATGGAGGGTTATCAGGGGGTAAAAGTCACTGGGTGGTGCAAATGGATAAAGGACTTGGCTACTAACCTGAAAGTTGATACTTTGAGTCGGCCCAGAGGTACCTTGGAAGAAAGGTCTTGTGACCTGCTTCTCAAAAATCAGGCATTGAAACTTCTGTGGAGCATAGTTCTACTCTCATACATATGCGCTCACTATGTGTTGGAGTTGCCTCGGTAGCAAATGGTTTATCAGGGGGTGGTGCCGACCCTGCTCATTATCTGGCCTTTAGGCTGCCCAATGCCTGGTCGTCACTCTGTCTGTCCCTCAGTTTAGGCTGGACCTGAAAGGAGGTGGTCTTCCTCCCTTCAAGTGTGTGGGCAGGTCCCCAACTCCTGCTTCATCACCTTGAGCAGCCTTAGGGGAGCAGTAAACCCTGGTCCTCCTATCTGAGTGTTCTGGGCTTGGATGGTTCCCCAGGGTCGCTAAGGTCTCCTGCAGTCTGGGCTACTCTGTGGCTTTGGGAGGGATCTGTCTTTGACCCCTTCTCTGCCTTCCAGGACCCCTGCTCCTGGCCCCAGCCCCAACACTAGAGCCCCCTTTATTCTTGGCATCGCTGCAGGCAACTCTCAGGAGCAGGCCTTCCTCTTGGCTGCTCATATTTCGCACACCTCCATCTATTTTATGCAGAGACATGTGAATTCCCACTTTAGGAAAAAAAGACAAACCTATTTGCCTCCAGTTTTTAACAGTTGATAAAGGCTTGCTCTATTAACCCTCCCAGGGGCATTTCATTTAATACGGGAAAGAGGATGCTTTAATTAAAAGATATTCCCAACGGTAGATTCTCTGGCAGTGTGTCAGTCTGATGGGGAGGCAGTTGTGAGCATGAGGCCTTCCTGGAGTTCCCTGAAGGTGGCAAATCCCATTTTGGGGAAGACAGCACCTGTGCCCCTGCTAGGATGTATGAAATCCTCTGAGTCTATCTTTCCCTTTGTTATTGTTAACTGCCAAGGAGCCAGTCCTCGACTCATGATGACCCCATGAACAATGGAATGAAACATGGCCCAGTCCTGTGCCACCCCCATCTATAGGGCTTTCATTGACTGATTTTCTAAAGTAGATCACCAGGGCTTTCTTCCTGATTTGTCTTAGGCTGAAAGTTTCTCTGAATCTTTTCAGCATCATAGTAACAGATGGCTGGTGGATTGGTTGGGAATCGAATTCAAATCTCCTAAGGAGCTCTGATAGCATAGTGGTTACAAATCGGGCTGCTAACTACAAGGTCGGCAGTCCGAAACTACCAGCTGTTCCGCGGGAGAAAGATGAGGCTTTCTGCTCCCGTAAAGATTTACAGCCTCAGAAACCCTGTTTAGGGCCGCTGAGTCGGAACCGACTCCACGGCACACAGCCACTACCACCACCACCACATGGAAGGCGAGAATTCTACCACCTAATCACCCCTCTTTCCCTTTTGTTGTTGTTATATGTTGTGGAGTCGGTTCTGACTCATAGAGACCCTGTACAGGGTTTCCGAGGCTGTAAATCTTTACGGGAGCAGAACACCTCATCTTTCTCCCGCGGAGCGGCTAGTAGTTTTGAACTGCTGACCTTGCGGTTCGCAGCCCGATTCGTAACCACTACGCTACCAGAGCTCCTGTCTTTCCCTTTAGTGGTCTTAAAACAGATCTGTATTTAGGCTGAAGAGGAGGCAACTTCAGAGAACAGAGGGTTCTGTGACTACTCTGGTTGGAACCAACAAGAAGATGGAATGATGCTTCTTAGTTCTACAGGGCTCACAGACATGCACCGAGCTGGAAGTGACTTTTGTTTCTACTCGGCATTTTGTAGGCGGTGACCCTGAAGTTCATAGAGGAGATGAGAGTGTCGAAGGTGGCTCCATCCTTGTGAAAGAAGTGAGCCTGAGTTGAGTTGGAAGGATTTGTGTTTTCAGCTGGTGGTCAGACCCACGGGTGAACCATAGAGGCAACTGGGGATTAAAAATCCCCAGGTATGCGTAAGGACTCTGCTTTGGTCTTTGGTAGGATAATGGAGTGGTCACTGAGGTGTGTTTCCATCATGGCCTTGGGAAAGGTCCTCTGGAACAATAATATTAGCATAGAGAGTAGAGAGAAGCGAGTAGAGAGAATAGAGAGTAGAGCCCTGGTGGGGGGAGGCCCAGGGAATCCTACCTTTTATTCTCTAGGTGTGAGTTTGAGAATCTACTCACCTTGGTTGAGTCTTTGACTTGTGGGGAAAGATCTCATCTCCCTTTTCCTTATTCTTATATCCAGATGGTGGGAACAGAAAGCCGAATTAGGGTCACCTTCTTCCCACCATTCTCTGGACAGGACACCCCGAGGGCCTGAGCATTGTGTGGGGTATGGGCAGTGGAGTAGAGGGTGGTTCCCAGCTGTTAATATGGGGGACATTGCAGTTTCAGTAGAAATCCATTCTGAGAGGGGAGGCAAAGGGAACGGAACGCTCCTAGAGAGTGAGACACAGTGCATGTGACTTTGGGGAAATTTGCTCTGTGGTCCCGGAATGCCAAATGTCAAGTATAGGTCACTACCATGTGTGGTGCTGTGGGTTAATGTGTCAAACTGCAAAGTTGGTGGTTCAAGCTCACCAGCTGCTTCTTAGAAACCCTATACAGGGTCGCTATGGGTCGGAATCGACTCGACAGCACCTAACAACAATGTACACTACGAGAGACCCAGGGTACTGTCATAAAAAACCGAAGAGCAGGGGCCCTGTTGAGAAGTGGATTTGCTTGGCCCATAGCACAACATTTGAAGTAGACTATTTTAGAGGCAATTCTGAGAAGAGGTATTCTTCAGCAGGTTTCTGAGTAAGGTTCCCTATATATGGCATCAGGGACAAATGCTTTGGGTTTCCTTCTGCCTAGTCAGTGACCAACAGCAACCAGAAAATGACCCCAATGTAAGCCAGTCAGACAGGAGCACAGTTTGATTATCAAATCACCTTTAATGAAGCAATAGGCAGAAGATACAATGTGGTTCAGTCGCACAGCACAGCAGTGTTTATATAATAATAAACTCCTTTCCCCACTTATTGGGGAAGAGGAGTAATATGTATTTCTGTATGAACACTATAAAAACAGAACTCCTCAAAACATTTTCCAGGAGATAGGATCAAAGAGAATCTATTGGGGGCCCATCACCAGTAGAATATCAGAGACAGTCTCTTAGTTGAGAGGTGGCAGCAGCCCCTCCCTTGCCATGAGGGTCAGGTGGTGAAAAACAATAAGGGAACAGAGGGCCTTGCAGTATATTTGGTAGCTCTTTAGCATCTTAATCACCAATGTTGGGTAGGATCCAGTTGGTAGAATTGCCAGTGGGGCCAGACAGTCAGTGGGAGCCTTTTCTTCCATGGCGGGCAAAGAGTTTGCTTCTCTGCTTGAAGAGGGAGAGGATGGGTGATGAAGAGGAGGAGTGATGGAGCATGAGGTCTGCTACAATCTTGGTGACCTGGGATGAGAAAGAACAGAAGTCAAGCTGGAGACTGACGAGACATGGGCTATGAGGCGAAGTGATGAGAGGCTGCAGTCTGGGGCTTTGCAATGGACCTGGAGTTCATATTGATGGTGACAGAACAGACTTGCTATCAGTGTGACGGGGGACACTGGGAGAGAAGGATGTGGAGCCAGGATTGGGTCATAATGCGAGTATGTCTCCTCACTCTTGAGTTGAGAGAGCAGTACTGGTGTAAGTAGAGGAGGAAAAGTACGGAGGCCTCGTTAGGTCAGGCAGGTAGACTAAGAGCCAAGGACCTGAGTTTCTTTTTCCATTCATTAGCTGTGTGGTCCTTGATGCTACTTGGCCTCAGTTTCTTCATTTATAAAATGGGGATAATAACAACTGTTCTTAGTGCCTCATAGGGGAGACATGGTTTAATTGGAGTGACAAATGACTGAATGTATTATATAAATGTGTTAGGCTACTGTTAATAACAAGATAACTTGTTAACAGGAAGAACTAGAGGAGTTTGGCAGCTCAGATTTAGGACTTAGAGCAAGACCCTGGAGAGAGATTTAGTCTTAGGGTTTACTATTCCATCCCTGACCCAAGGTGTCCACTCACCTCATCTGGACCATAGCCGAAGGGTCATGAGAAGGTTAAATCCAGTCACTTTCAGGAGAAGAATGCGGAGCCCAATCACGAATAGGTTTTGAAAGTTTAGGTTCATATCTGTAAGACCCAAGAGGCCCCAGAGGTTATAGGCATGCACATCTCTGCACAGATCTGTTAAGATACACCAATGGCTTCCCCCAAACAGGGGAGGTGGGTGGGAGCTATATGTGCCTCTCCTTGGGAGCTTCTGTAAACAGCCCCTTACACAAAGCTACTTGTGTACACCTCCAGGCTCAAAATATTTTGAGGTTAAATATTGTCTTGAAAGAATACCACCAACTGGATTTATTTTCTGAGTCCCATGGGGGTGGGGCAGGTGCTCAGACTTGATCTGTAATCTCTTGGGTCTGGAACCTTTAGTAAGAATCTAGTGGCTAAACCACAGGAGGGATGGCTCATAGAACAGGTCAAATGGAAACAGTATGGCTCAGGGTAGGTGGTGTGGAAGGGTTAGGTAAAGCCCAGTAACATGGCTTTTCTTGAAATAAGGTAAAAAAACCCCGGATTTGGAGGAGAGATGATTTCAGGAGCTGAGTTTAGAGCTATACATTATATAACATAAACTCAATAAACCCAAAGCTGTTGAGTCGATACAGTGACAGAACAGAGTAGAACTGCCCCACAGGGTTTCTGAGGCTATGAATCTTTAGGGAAGTGGACTGCTTAATTTTTCTCCTGGTGGGTTTGAACTACTAACCTTGCAGTTAGCAGCCCAACACTTAAAACATAAAGCAGTCAGAAATCTCAGTTGGATCAACCAGAAGCTCTCTTTGATTCTCCTGACAGTGGAGCTATTGAAAGGAATGCACAGCCCTGGAAAGCAGTTATCTGCCTAGTAAAACTAGAGACCTATCCTCAAAGTACATAGAATGGAAAACAAAACTAGAGATGGTAGGAGTTACTGGGGAATTCAAGAAAGATCCCAGCCAGCTCTGAGCAGGACTTGAATTGCTGTTCCCATTCCTCATGACTTTATTCCCAGATCCATTATTTCCTTCCTCCTCCCCTATCTGTTGCTGTTGTTAAGCGCCATTGAGTCAATTCCGACTCATAGCAACCCTGTATAGGGTTTCTGAGGCTGCAAATTTTGGCAGAAAGCCTCTTCTTTTTTCCCCACAGAGTGGCCAGTGGGCTCAGACTTCCCTATCTACTCAGAGTTACTATGGATTCATAGCCTTCCCAGATGTGTGAAGCCAGGCTAGACTCCTCTCTTACCTGTTTCGAAGCTTTCCTCGACCAACTTGGCATCACAGAGGCTTTCTAAAAATAGAAGCAAAGACATTTTCTTAGAGTCCAGAACCTAGCAACAATTCCTCTACCCCAGCACCTGGCACATTGTAAGGGCACAATGAATGGTTGTTGAATGAGTGAGGTCAGGAAGGTCTTTGGGAAGACAGACAGGAGGGGAGGCAACTTGGAGAAAGGGCACTGGAATTTGGGAAAGCAGTCAGGGCTAAGCAGCCTTTGCCCAGGTTGCTGTTGTTGTTGTTGTTAAGTGCCGTTGAGTCGGTTCCGACCCATAGCGACCCTGTACAGGGTTTCCGAGGGTGTAAATCTTTACGGGAGTAGAAAGCCTCATCTTTCTCCCGCGGAGCGGCTGGTAGTTTCGAACCACTGACCTTAAGGTTCGCAGCCCGATTCGTAACCACTACGCTACCAGAGTAGGGCATGGGAATTCCAGAGCCTGTACTGGAATGCAGTAGGGGTGAACTAGGGTTGGGTCAGAGGCCTCTTCTACCTCCTTCTCCCCAGGATACTGTGTCGACTATTAGGAGGGGCTCACTGGTCCTCAGTGGAAAGAGGACAGGCCATTTTCTGACAAACGGTGAGGCCAAGACCACCCATCAGAGCAGTTTTTTTTAGAATTCTTTGACCTGCAAAGCCAATGGTTTCGGAAAGTGATGCCTTCCCCAGACCCCACGCTATACTGACCTGAGCTGGAATAGAAGTTCATATCTTTGAAGGTGTCATTACATATAAAATTCTTGGTATCACTCCAGGCCAGGACTCCGTTGCTCTTGGAATCCATGGTCTTCATGGTCAGCACAGTTGCATCCGTACTCAGCACCTTGGAATTCGAGATGTCTGGCTGGTTGTCTGAAGACTTAAAATCAGTGAATAGGCAGACGGAGGTGATGCTAGATTTAGGGCTTCTCAGCTGGTACACAGCAGGGTCAGGGTGTGTGATATCTGTGGACCAAGAGGACATGAGGTTAGGAGACTCAGTTGTTTCCCTTTTTGCCCCTACCCAGGCTGGATTTCAGGTGCCAGTCATAGAGCTGGCAGACTACAGTCCTGAGACTTTAGATAGGAAACAACATTTTAGAAACCAGCTGCTCACAGTGGATTGGGACTTAAGGACAGGCACAGCTATGAATTGTGGCCAAGAGGCCAGGCTTTCAGTAAACATTCTCTGCCAAGTTCTTCCTGCTGTTTGAGGAAACCAGAAATATAGAGGTGCTTATGTGGTGTTGTAGGATAAGCACTGGACCACAAGGTCAGTTTGAAATGCAAGGCTGGTGGTTCAAACTCATCAGCTGCTTCTCAGAAACTCTAAACAGGGTTGCTATGAGTCGGAACTGACTTGGTGGCACTTAACAACACGATACCACTCTTTTTGTCTCTTAATAGGAATTGCTCCTAAACCTCAATATTCCCAGTAAACAACATACTTGCAGTAGAAGGGGAAGAAGAAGCATAGAAAAAAGGCATAGGAAAGACAAGCATACATTTTAGGGTGTGGATGGGCTCCCTCACCTAGGCTTGGCTTTGACAGGAGCTGGAGGCTTATGATGTATTGACATTAAATTGAAATGTTGATTTGTTTTATTAAAAGGTTGGGACTACAAATCAGAACATCGGAGTCCAACCCCTAGCTCTACCATATACTAGATGTGGGGTTTTTGAGCAAGTTACACCAGCCTCATAAGACTTAGAAGCTTCATCTGTAAAATGGGATGTTATCTTGTCTATCCTCCAGGCTCTTCTGAGAAACCAGTGAGAGATGCTCCATATAAAATTATATTTAACCAACTGTAAAGTGCCAAGCAAACATTACTAGCTGTAGCTATTAAGACTCATCAGGGTATTGCCATGAAAACATGCTACTAACAGCCACAATTTCTACTCATCAACCCAGGAAACAGTAATTGCTGGAGGCTTTTCCTTAGTGCTGGGAATCATTCTTCAGTATTTCCGTAGGATTTTGTGTTTTTAATGTGATTCTCATTGTTTATTCTTTCCGACCTCCTGCCTTTAGAAGAGGAAGCAGAGGTTTGCTGGGAGGATTAGCAGGCTTGGGGCCACCCAGAGAGTTTACAGCAGGGTTGGGATTAGCGTTTCCTGCCCCTGTGGTTCTCTGCTCCCTAAGCAACTTACTGCGTGGATGAGTTTATTCAGACCTGGAGATATACCCCACTTGTTAAGCCATCCAGGGTGGTCTTGGCGGTACAGACATCCAGCTGGATCTGAAACCAGGGAAACTAGCCCTTTGTAAGGCCTTGGGAGACTTAGTTGAAGGCAGAGCTACCTGCAGTAGGGGGCCCTCCTGGAGCAACCGAGTAGGGAATGGACTTTATGGTTTTATCTGAGAGATCTAAAACCCTGGACCAAAGGATTCTGCCAACTCCTTTCCATTTCCCAAATACTTAGGGGTCACAAGAGGACTGTCATCCCTAGTGTTTAAGATCCTAAAGTCTACATCCCAACACCCCAACAGATTAATCAACCCTCAGTGGCTTTCAGGGTCAGGGCTGGGGAGGGGGACACCAGTGTGCATGCAGGTGCTGAGAGAATGCAGACTGAGGGGAAGACAAGGGATAGGGTGCTTCCAGATATATAGTATGGCCTCAGCAAGACTGAATCAATTTTTCAGTGTGGAAGTTCAGATACTCTAGGTTCTAATGCATCATTTGAATTCAAAACCACGCAGCAACACATGTCTGAATGCTCTAGTGCTTTAAATCCCCAGGGGCACAGCAGTGATTGAAAGCGCCTTTGCCACTAAATCTGTACTTTGTACTCAAGACACTGGGAACCTAGAAATGTGGGTTACTACTTTGACTCTGGGTCCCATGGTGGCTCTGGTGAGCACCAGGAGTTCATAAACACAGTCACACTCACCAGGAGTAATGGAAACCCTGGTTCCTTTGCCAAACTGCAACTTGGAGGCCAACATCTGAGTACCACTCCCAATGGATCCACTACAGAAACCATTGAGTGAGTTTGCCCCCTCCTAGAGCCCACTGAGGACCAAGAAGGAAACTCTTCAGACCATAAGTTGTCCTTGGAAGTTGTCCCCTCTCAGCTGCATACTAGGCCACCATTTAAAAATGAGATTCCCCCCAGTGGCTGACCTCGGTCTTAATTCTCTCTCTTTTTCCTCTCTGAATTGATGCTGCTTTATTAGCACTTTTCTTTTGTACATTTTATCGTGGTTTGGGTGAAAGATTACAGAACAGATTCATTTGCCATTCATCAATTTGGACACATTTTGTTTTGGGATATTAGTTGCAATCTCTTCAATGTAGCATGACTCTTCCTACTTCCTCCCTGGGTTTCCCAGTTCCATTAGCTCATCTTTCCTGCCCCTTCCTGCCTTCTGAACTTTGTTTTTGGGCAAATGCTACCCTTTTGGTCTTGTCTGCTATGGCCTTACTTCTCTTGAAGGCTGACTGGTATTCCTTTTTTCCATTATCTTCTTTGCCTTATCACCACCCAACATTACTATCAATGTTATTAGCCCAAACTGTATGGGCCATGTTCATTCTTAAGATCATACCAGTTTTCTTAAGTCTGGAGTTCTCTTTCTCTCCTTTCTTTGCCCACATATATCTTACCTACCCTTCAGGACTCAACAAATCTTTTCTACCACATAAAACATCTTCTCACATAGGCCAACTTTTCCAACCAAGACCCCCAATTCCTCTCAGTCTTTGTTGTGCCTATGGACATCATCAACTGGCTAACATTAAAATAGTGTTTATGGAACTAAATTTACAATAGTCTTTTCCCATTGGTTAGTTTTTATACTATTGGAGAACAGGTCAGGCATATATATATTAGATTAGACTTCTTTATACTCAGTCTAATGTTTCACAGTGTGATCGCAAAGAAGGCATTTAGAATATCCATTGAATGATCAAAGTAAAAATTTCTTTGACCGAGAGAAACAGATATTCAAGACTGATGCTATAAGATGATTCATTGTAACACTCACAATGAATCAGATCAGAGCTAATGAAGCAGATCACAGCCTCATCATGATCAGAGCTAATATTCCCAGGGAAAAGATTATGACATTGGGCCATGGGGTTGGAAATGGTACTTCTTGGGATGACTCACCAGCTATTATGGTCAGTTGGGTCCCTTTCCCAAATGTGAGTTTGCCAGTCATTGCTCCACTATCCACACTGCGGGTGATACCATTACAGAAACTCACTGAACCTATTTACTTTTAAAATAGGACAAGAAGCATTGGTCTCCCACAGTATCACATTTCTAGGATTTAGACATTCTACTCTTTTGGATTTAGATATTGTCTCTGATGGTTCAATCTTCCTCTTACACCATCTTGTCATGGGTGCCCTGAGTTGGAGATTGTGATTTCAATAACCCAAAAATTTGGGGAGCAAAATTTCTATTCAGGGCAGTAGTATCCTACATCTTCTCTTGGAAGGTCCAGGACTACTTACTCATTATCTACCTCATGACTCTTAAGGTCTCAGCATAAGGATGATGTCTCCAAAGCACTAAGTACTGGATGGGAGGATTTTCTAGGGATAAGTGGAAAGAATCATTTGGAATCCTTCAGAAAAAAAAAAAACCCTCAGCATCTTGGACAAAGGAGAATTCATTGTGGATATCTACCCTTGTCCCTTTCTACTTACTTGGTGAGATCCCGAGTCTGGTCCCAGCTCCAAAGATTAGTTTGGTATTACCGCTGTATTCCCACTGCAGGAAAGGTCTTTGCACTAACCTTCCTGACGCTACCCCACTGGGATTAGCAGAGCCTCAGTGCACTCACTCTTCTGAATGGCTCCTTGGGGGCTTGTTTCTCAGGTCTCCTATTTTCCGAGGAAGTCTTCCCTCTTTACAATACTGACTATCATAGTATAGCAAAGGTTTGATGATGATAATAATAGCAATTAATACTATTAGTTTTTTTGTTTGTTAAGTCAAAGTTCTGACTCACAGCGACCTAGTGTAGAGTTTCCAAGGAGCAATTGGTGAGTTTGAACCACCAACCTTGTGGTTCAAACTAACCTTGCGGTCCAGCGCTTTATCTTACAGCTCCACAAGAGGACTCTATTATTTATTACTTGAGGTAGTATAGTGGATTATGAGTTAGGCTGCTAACTGCAAGGTCAGCAGGTCGAATCTACCAGTATCCATGAGGGAGAAAGAGGAGGCTTTCTGCTCTTGTAAAAATTTACAGTCTTAGAAGCTCTATACAGGGTTGCTAATTAGTTGGAATTAACTCCATGGCAGGTTTGTTTTTTTTTTAGCTGTATGTTGCCCTGGGGGTGCACAGGTTGAGCTTTGGTCTATTAATTGCAAGATCAGTGGTTCAAAGCCCCCAGCTTCTCTTCAGAAGAAAGTTGAGGTCATCTGATCCCATGAAGAGTTAGCGTCTCAGAAACCCTAGGGAGCGGCTCCCCTCTGTCCTCTATAGGGTCACTATGAGTTGGAACTGACTGGACAGCAGTGGGTTTTTTATTTTTAACATGTCAAGTATGTCCCAACAACAATGGCTCTTCAGATATGGGTCTGGATCACTGTTACCCTTGGGAGGAGTTTCAAAACTCCATAAACTCCAGAGAGAATGGATCACTGTTACCCTTGGGAGGAGTTTCAAAACTCCATAAACTCCAGAGAGAAAGATTCTATAAACAGGCATTCCGGTACCTTGCTCATTAGCCAATCCAGGGAGTTTAGCAACTACTGCAGTAAAAAGAGAATTTGTGTTTGCCATTAACTCATCCCTTCCCCCTAAGGGCACTTAGCTAATTGCCTGAATGTTCAGATTATCTGGTGCTGATATTATCAGTTTTGCATCAAGTATCAGAACTCTTTTTATGTTTTTGGAAATTATTCTACACAGATTTTTATTTATTCAATTGGCTTTTGGCACTTCTGTCTTTGATATGAGAAATGGGAATATTTTAAATCACCTAGAGAACTTGTAGAGA